TTTGCAAAAATATATACAAATAAACCTTCAACTTGAAATAATAATCGACGGCTCAGCCTGCTGAAGCAGCCACTGGATGGTCTCGCCATCGGATTTGTGACCCAATTCTCTGGTCAACTGAAAGATCCTCGCCGCACATAGCGCCGGCATCCTGATTCTCCGACCTCTGCCTTCGACTTTGGTGTGTCTATCTTTGTTGGAGCCCCTCTTCGGACCCAACACCAGACGCTGCTGCTGCTGTTGTCTCTTGCTCACCTCCCTGTCCGCCACCATAATCTGGAGATCCTTAATCTCAGCTTGTTTATTCACACCATTGTCGTCCTCGTTGTTATCGCCATTGCTTATATCTCCCATGCTCTGATTTTGCCGCTGTGGCGGCGGTGGTGGGTTCAAGAAATTTGGTACCTGGTGTTGATTTGGGTTCTTGGGATCCATGAAATCGGTGGGGCTGAGGTCGATAGTGACGCTGACTAAACAACAAATCTCTCTCTCTCTCTCTCTCTCTCTCTCTGATTCCGAGAAAGGCCTCTACTTGTCGAATTTTGTTTAAAAGAAATACAGAAACCCTTCAAAACCAGCAAGATCCCGATGCAAAACGGAAGAGAATAAAGAAAAAGGCCACACCTTTCGATCTCCAAGTGCCCCAAGAGAGAGAGATGAACAGAGAGGTTGGTATAAAGTGTTAGGCTTTAGTTGTCACTCATAACAACAGACAGACACCCAGTCTCATAGGCTTCTCATCAAACCCCGAATCTTTATACCCTAAACAGAAATGCCATTTTAAAAAAAAAATCGAATAATTCAATGTTATTCTTTCTCAGAAAAAAAAAAATACATTAATAGTGTGTGTGTATATATATATATATGTGTAACTACACATAGGCATATATTAAGTATAAAATATCACGTCTTGTATCAAACACTAAACCTTGTTAATACAAGAATCTATTATTACTACATAATTACTCAATATTATATAGATCTTTTTACCAAAAAAAATATTATATAGATCTATGCATTTTTTTTTGTTGCTTCGTCGATTGCATCCTTCCTTTTGCCGCAACCAAAAAACGTACCCCCAGCAAACAGTAGTCAAAGTCAACGTCTTCTCCAGCAAGACTCTTAGACTGCCAAGTGGATCCACCAGGTCAGGACACGTGGCAGCTCCAGACAAAGCTAGGCTTACTTCTCGTTCTCGGGCAAGATCTAAGATCAAATGAATGACTTCGAGTTTCCATGATTTGGTCCGACATCACTACTACATACATCTCTTTACCATTGCTTACATTATGATATATATATATATATATGTATATATATATATCCTAAAGAGAGAAGAACCTGCAATTAAATCGTCAAATCAACAAAACATTGAAAAATTACAGATCTTTTCTTCGGAACGAACAGTTGTTTTCTTTCAGACTTATCTACAGAACAAATGAAGACAAGACAACGGCTTAGACTGACACTGCCGTGTGACACACGTAAGATCTGAACTCCCGAGACAGCTCTTTAGCTTGTCATGGACGGACCAAAGTACATACAGATCGGCGGATTGATCCTTAAGATCGACAGAATCGCAGAAGGGATCGTCCATATCCCATCTCCGCAGATCAAACCCGATGCCACCGCCCCCGCGAAATCGTCCGCATCTTTCCGGTTCAACCGCTCCCACACGAACAGTATCACTGTCCCCACGAACATGTCGATGGCGAAATAAGCTCCAATGTAGAACGGAACGGCCATCGCCATCGGTATCGGGATGAACTGAGATATCTTCGGCGGTGTGATGTCTCTCAGGAGGTTCACAACCAGAGCGGCCACGAAAAACCCGCAACAAAGAGCTAAACAATGCTTGGGCAGTTCCGAGAAGCCCTCGATCCCGAGAATCGCCATTTCACGGAAAATCACAGCGTAGGGAGCTTTGTACGGACCGTCGGGAGATCCGATGTCGAAAGCAGTCCAGAAAAGCCAGAACGTGAGTGGAGCTATAACACAACCCATTGCTGTCCCGACCAGTTGGCTCACAAACATGGATTTTGCGGACGATAATGTCAGGTAACCTGTCTTGAAATCCTGCATGAGATCAGCGGCTGTAGAGACGATCGACATCATGACCCCACAGGCAGCTAAACCGGCAATGACACCGCCATTGCTTCCTACTATCGAAGCGATGATGAAAAGGCCGATCTTTCCATAGGTTGAAGCCAAGCTCCAGTCAGTGAGACCAGTTCCGTAAGAGTTGCAGAAGGCGAGGGCTGGGGCAATGAAGTAAGAACAGAGGACCAGATACCATTTCAATGGTGGGAATATCATCGGGATCATTGCCGTTGAGATGGCTGCAAGACCGACGTACCCAGAAATCGCGAACCAGAAGGGTATACGGTCCTTGAGAAATACTTCATCTCTTTTCTTCTTCTCCAGAAGTATCTGAGATGTCTCGCTATCATCTGATTCAAGGAACAGAAGAATAAGAATCAAAGACGAGATTTGAACAGATATTTTCGTACTTTCAGTGGTCAATTGCATATAGAGACTGATTACGAAAATAAAAGTGATCGATATTTCCTCACCTAAAACATCTGTGACAACAGGTAGGCTTCGCTTGGAACTTTTGTTGCAGATTTCCTTCACGGTTACTGCTATGATCTTGATGAGATTGTAGAGGCCATCACCAAGAATGATGGCAATGGCAATAAAGACCTTAAGAGATTGGCAGTGATGAGAAAAAATTGCATCAGAACACAACCACAGGACAAAGTGTACACAAAAATTCATCCGCTATAGCCTGTTTTGAAGTAAAAATCCAAACTTTAACGGAAACCCATTCTACTTACCTTATATCCGTAGAGACCTTTAAAGTCATTGGCCTCTAGGTCAGCTGGATACCAGTCACCGGCATGCTGAGAAACAAATGGCCATAAAAGTCCCCATGAAATGATAGCACCGAGAAGAACCGAGCAGTTCACTATGTGGGGACATATAAGACCACATCCAACGTAAGTGGGACTGAAGTCGAAGTAAAACCTGTGGCATAGGAAATCGTCACTCATTAAATATTGCATTACCATGCCTACAAAAATTATTACTAATACAATGATCATGGACTTTACAACCATAACCATCTGGTGAATAGAAAGTATATGCTTACGTGTTCTTAAATAGAGTCAATCCAAGGGTGGGAAAGTTATCAAATCCACAAGCATCTCCAATACCGCTGAAGAACCACTTGAAGCAACTCCAGCACAAGCTAAGGCTCAAGTATTTCCCAAGACATTTAACCTGCTTCCTGTAGTGAATGATATTTTCGATATTCAGTGGAGCTCGTGATAAGGTTCGCTTGAAAGGGAGATTGAAATTGCATATTGCTCAAAACAGTTACCCTGCAAGCTCAGCTCCGGTGTTGGTGTGAAAGCTATTTATTAGCATTGCCGTTGCAGTTCCACTGGGATATGTAAGTTTGTAGTCCAAAACCATCACCTGAGATGTAACTCATGGATGAGGACCCCATTAACGGAGACATGAAGCGTATTCAGTTCTGTTAAGATCATAACCAAACTATACGATTGTATTGTGCCCTTGAGAGAGGGTACCTTGCGAAGTGGAACAAGACTAAAGAGACCGAGGAAACTGACTACAAATAGAAAGCCGGTCATCCACCACAATCCCGGGTTCTTAACATCCTCTGCATGGTTGCCAGGATAGTCCACACCAATGAGCTTGTATGTCTTCTCATCCATGGCAATCAAATAAGAACCAAATCCCCCTGCAGAACAGAACTCGGGAAAACAATATCAGACCCAAGAAACATACATAACAAGCAGAAGACCAGATCAAACAAGAATCCATACCAGCCTTATACTAATATCCATTGATTGATCAGAGGAATAGAAAAGTGCTACCAAAAAGAAATCTATAACACTAACCCAAAATCCAACTTCGAAATTGCGAACTGCCAGTTCTGTCAATCTGGTTCAATGATCAAACCACCTTCAATGTCACCAATATCAACCTTAAACTAGTAACTATAGATTGATCGTCTCTCGCTAAGATAACTCTCAAACCTAGTGATAAGGGTAACCAACATTCACACAGTATTCAAACTTGCTCATTCACCCGCTAGCAGCAAGAAAGATCAAGATACCAGAAAACATTCCGACAATTGCCATTGTCCCGTTGCAATTAACCCAAAGACAGAACAACAACGAATCAGATATGCTGAAAAAGAAGAAAATCTACTCAATTTCGGAAGGCATAAGGTATAAAACACACAAACAGGTACTATGACGAAAAAATTAGGCAATTGAAATGGATAATCTGTCAATTTTACCGCTAAAGGCGAGGCCATAACAGGCGACAACGCATGTCTGGATAACGGTGTTCTCCTGCTTGGTGAAGGGCTTGACGGAAAACCCTAGCTTCGACAAGAAACCAGTCCACGACTTGACGAAGAAGAAGCCGAGCAAACCAGCGGCAACGTTCAGCGAAGGGATTATTCCGACAGTCAGATTGAGCTTGTGGGTGATGATGCAGAACAGCGTCCCGAGCAAGGCGCTCACTGCAAGGCCTCGGACCGTGATCTGCTCCTTCCAGCCGGGAACACGCTCGTCGGAGTCAAACACCGCCGCCGCTTTCTCCGATCCCGGCAGCAACGCCTCCGAAATCTCCACCAACCCTTGATTCTCCGTACCCATAATAACCTAGGTTCTGAATTTACCCCGAAGTTTCGTAGCTTAGTCGGAGAGATCCCGACAGCTTTCACCGGAAGCGGTCCGAATTCTCCCTTTCCCCTCCAAAATCTGGAACCTTACCGGCAAATTTCAAAGGAAATGATTCGAGTTTCCCTGCTCACCCAAATTCCCGGAAATGTTCTCGAGCAAATTTCTCGGGGAATTACGATAACGTGAACAAGCAAACGGAATCGGAGAAAAACCGATCGTGAAGAAAACGAGGATTGAGGAGCCTCGGGTAAAGTAATAAAACAGCGAGGTTCAACGATTTAGGTTCAACTAGTCGATTAATCGAATAGGAAAGTGCCACGTATATTAGTAATTGGATTTATTTAATCTTTTTATCTGCTGCTTGATATTTTAATTTAAAATATCGATAGCATGGGGAATTGTTCATCGATTGCTGACGTCGAATCTCAGAATTTCATTTCCCCACGTCGAATCTTTCTTATGTTTTAAAAAAATTGGACGTGTTATTTAGTAAATAAATAAATAAATAAGGCATTTTTTTATAGACATTGAGATTGTAGATATCCATAAGGATGCGGTTTCATAAATGAGCTTTGTCCTTTTGCTAACTAAAGTCTGAATCTATAGACAAAGACCAAACCTTTAAACGTAGGGAAATGTCCAATATAACTATAAAAAAAAAATAAAACCCCTAAAAAACCTCCTATTTGCAAAAATATATACAAATAAACCTTCAACTTGAAATACTATCATTCAATCCTCGAATTTATAACTTGTCATTGAATGAAAATTCGAACTTGTAAATTATTGCTCTAATAAATCTTTGACCGATTTGACCACAATTTCAGACGATCGGAAATCTACGTATTAACGGATTGCTGATGTCACCTTATACACGTTATCAATTTTAATTTAAAAATTGACATCAGCAATTCGTCAATACGTAGATTTCCGATCGTTTGAAATTGTGGTCAAACCGATCAAAGGTTTATTAGAGCAATAATTTGCAAATTCGAGGTACAAGTTATAAGTTCGGGAATTGAATGACAGTTTTTCAAGTTGAAGGTTTATTTGTATATATTTTTGCAAGTTGGAGGTTTTTTAGGGGTTTTACCCAAAAAAATTACGTCATTTATGGAAAGTTTTTTTTTTATACATTAGAAACCGGCTGCTACCCTTCGGACGCGCTGACCGAGTAAATCCAAGTCTACACATACGAGCGTACAATACACGCGTGGAAGATCAATTAGCTGTAACTGACAGGCGATAGGTGAGCGGACAAGAAGTCGAACCCCCAACCTTTCGGTATGTTGACCATACTCCTTGCCAACTCACCTAGGTTCCCCTAGTTTATGGAAAGTTAAGCTCGATATTAATGTCAATAGAGGGTATTTGTAAAAAAAAAACAAATGGAACGAATGATCCAATTTTATGTACATATAATTTGATTGGATATGATTTTGTTTGAATAAAATTAAACGGTGGAATATAACTTTAAAAAAAAACTATATTAACAAATAAATATCTTTAAGATAAAACTGAAATGTACACATTTCGTAGGTGTAGTGTGACGTTAATTTGTCAGCTTCTTGTGTAATCTATGTCTTAGGAACTATGAAGTAATAATACCCAAAAAAAAGATTCGTTCAATTAGATATTAGGCTTACATGTAATATTTAATGGGCCGATTTGTATAGCTGTAGTGGACTCATGATGGGTTGTATTCTCATTTTGATGGGCCTCGTATGGTCGGTCCAAGTCTGCCATCTTTATGTGCCGTGTGGGAGTGGTTTGTTCCAATTTTGTTTTGGATTTGATTCGGTTAGGCACTTCGATTTTAATAAAATTATAAATATCACGGTTTTGATTTCGATTTTTTTTTTAAAAAAAAAGGCCATATTCTAAAAAAATAGATTTTTTTTTTATTTTTTTTTAAATTCAATTCATTCCGACTGGGATTTGGTTTTTTTCGAATTTGTAGAAATCATAACTATTTTTTTTACCGGAATTTGTTTAGCTACAGTTGTATATTATTCGATATTATTTAGTTATTGACCAGATTGATAAAACATAATGACTCTCCAAGAGGGTAATATAACAAATTTTACATAAAATTGATCCCATTCATTCCAATCAATCAATCATTATCAATATGTATTTGGTCTTCTACTAATACGTAACGTATGTATAGTCACCGTCTTTCCACTGCACACATAACAACACATTGTAAAACACTTAATCGAAACTTGTAATATATTATAAACTTTACGTACCGACACATTTTGCATGAGATCTCGCGGTACCAATGACTCGGGCGATTTTTTTTTTTAATATCATGAGAACCCTAACTATTATCTTTCGGACGAGTTTTCTTCTTATTTCAACCAATAACGTAAATTCAACACCATCAAAACCAAAAAAAAAAAAACAATGGAAACCCTAATTTGGTGTTGAAATGATAGGGGAGGAGACAAGAGATGAGCATAAGAGGAAACAAAAATCCGGCCGACAAAATCATGTATCTTTCGATCTCGTTTGTTCCAAAGTGGAGTTCACAAGCAAAACAGTTCGAAGATCTTCAGCGTCCGTACGCACAATTTCGACATTTCATTGCCGTTGGTTTGAACGTTTAATTAGACAACCGAAAGATTGATATGAGACAATTATGATAAGAAATATATATGTAAGCAAAAGGGCTAAGCTCGTTTATTATTATTATTATTATTATTATTCAGACATGAATGGAATGGAACATATTAGTGACAAGAAGGCTATATATATATATATATATGTATATATACGTTGTGTAGCATCTTGTTACATAGCTCAAAACATGAAGATGCCATAACCAACCAATGGAGATTAAGGAAAATCTTCAATAATAGAGTTGGTGTCTTTTGCCACTTTTTTATTTTCTTTTTTTCATGTTCTGAAATTAAACAACGATCTCGATCGATGGCAATTTGGTTTGGAAGTTTTGATTTCATCTATTATTTTCGGCCTTTATTTGTTTGATTTATGAGACTGTTTTAAATTATGGTTTTAGTAAACATATCACATGTTTGGTGGTTAATATGTACCGTCAAGATGTATAAAATAGTTATTTTAACTATCAAATATTATAGTACCGTGGTCAAAGTTTATTGGAAATTATGGGAGTTTGACTCTATGAAATATTAATAAAAGAGTGGTGCCATATCAAAATTTGTTGTATGGTAACATAAATAAAAAATGAAAAGTTTTCTATACATATACGAATTTGTTATCAATTATTAAATTAATATAGAAACTTTAAAAAAACAAAAAAAAAATGAAAATTTTCTTGTTTATAGTTAAAATCATAAAATTTACAAAAAAAAATTAAGAAAATATTTAAAACCGCTTTTTGTTTGATATATAGTTGTAAGGGAGTCATTAATTTTTTTTTATATTTTTAGAATCTCTATAAAATTCATGGTTTTAACAAAGAATTTGAAAAAAGAAAAATCTTTTATTTTTTTTAAAGAATAAAATTTATGTATTAATATAAGAATTGATAACAATTTGGTATATTTTATATAGGTTTTTTTTTCCAAAAAAAATCATAAAGTAATTTATATTTTTATATGAATATTGATACTATATTTGTACATATCTCTAATCGAATTATATTTTATGATCGATATAATATGATGCGTGTCGACTGTGGAGCTTCAAAACGGTTGGTTCTAAATGCCATGCGTCGTCTGTCCATAGCTTTAGACAGCAATTTTCTCCTGGGGTTGATGATGACGACGATGACGTGGCAGAGCTCGCAAACAC